CAACCACTCGAAGAAAGACTAAATTATCTTTCTAATCTCTCAATGGAAAATAATATTACAAAATCTTGGTCATGTTAAGAAGTCATCAAAAAGTATGTAAAAAAGAATTTTAGTCTAGTTCAGTTAATAATAAAGATAATACTGTGATTTTTTTCCTGTTTTTTAATGTGTGGCATTTGTCAGCTGTGTGATTAATGGTTCTAAAAAACATTCAATTCTGTATTCACAATTCTGCATTTTTTTCTTAAATTGCATAAAATTCAAATGGTATAAACTTTAGGCTCACAAAGCCTGGAAACGTCTGGGTATACTAGCAATTCAACGTGGAGTGAACAACTAGTCTATGAAAATCCAAATCTAGAGTTCTTACTGTCACTCCTGGAACACCTGACACTTAGTCCGGGGAGAGGTGTGGAAGCGATACGGACGCCCAAGGCGCACAAGAACCGGAACAAACTCTCCTCTGTCCAGGGGCGTGGAGTTGACACACGTAAAGGCCACGGTGCGTTTCGGTCTTCTAAGAGCCGTGGGAAATCGAGAGCAAGCTTCAAGCATGGGAGGAAGTACTTAGGATGAGGAGGCAAGTGTGTGAGCAGGGAGACCACTTAGCAGGGGGTAAACGGTGATACCTTGCATCAGGGTGATGGTTCTTCAGGACTCCCACCGCTTTGTGTAGAATCATCCTGAGTGCTTCTGGGCATCCGAAGTGTGCAAGGAATGACAGGTTCCTTGGCTTCCCCAGCAATCCCTGCTCAGTCGGTTGACTCCCGAGTCTGCAGCCAAGTGCTATAAACCCCCCGGTGTTGGCGGGGGGGACTTCTTGCATCCTCTCAGCTTTCCGATTAATCATTTAGGTGGGAAACCGAAGCCTACTCAGGTAAAAAGATACGTGAACTCCAGGTCAGGATCACAGTCCTGCTCTAAATATATGACATTCTTTCCCCTGCAGGCGGCAAGGGTGAGGGGGGCTGGGTAAAAACAAATTATTTTCATTCAGTCACTGTTTCCTAGCAACCAAAAAAAAAAAAAAAAAAAAAAAAAGCATGTGCTTTCCTGATGTCTGTGAGCACCAGCCCAAGCCCATGATGTTCGGTGCTCCAGCACGCCTCCAGAAGCAGGGAGAGAACAAAAGCTTCGGAATCGGTCTCTGGTTGGTGAGAGATTCTGAAAGGGGGATTTGTTAAGAGCTGGGCACCTAATAGAACACCATCTGAAAGGCCCGTATCATAGATGTAGGGGAGCAGACAGGGGATCTGCATGGAGTGTACAGATATTCAGGGCAGGATGTTCTTACAGAGCAAGGCTGTGACTTCTGGGGAGTTGGTTTCTATGAAAGAGCTAATGCCTAAGACAACTGACCTCTTTCCATTAGCTCCTTTGTGTGTATTTCCAACCAGTCTTGTTTTTTGTTAAAGCTCTATACTATAGATGGAAAAGAAGAGTGACTAGCTGAATTCAAATTTAAACTGAATAGTCTTTGCAAATGGCCCCCTTTCAACCAGGCAGAGCTCCTCCATGCCTGTAAGTCACTGAACTCCACAGCTAGAAGGGACCTCTCCAATCATTCGATGATTGTTTTACAGAAGAGGAAACACACAACCACAGAGAGACAAATTCACTTATCCAAGGTGACACAGCTAGCAGATAGGTTTACTGGGTCTTTGGACCTCCTGGGGGAGGGACATGCTCATATTTTTAAGATTTCCACATTTGTATAGTATACCACATTGAATGGTGGGCCGGGAGGGGGGTCTAAGAGGAAACTGTCACAGCGGCCAAGAGACGCATATTTTATCCTTTGTAAGTCTGAAAATCAAAGGGTTGCCTCGGAATTACAAACAAGAATAGGTTAAAACAAATGCTAAGTCTTTTGCTTTTTTTTTTTCACCACCAGCATCCCCTTTAATAAAATGTGGAAGGTTGCGTGAAGGGGAAGGGGGGGAGTGAAATATGAACATTTACAACCACAAAAAACCTCTGTACATGTCTAGCGCCTGGCAGAGGGGAGGGCAGGCAGGGCAGCGGCGGGCGGGGCCAGCCCTATTTGTAGAGGATGTCGTAGTGTCCAGGCGGATAGAGGAGGTACACCTTGGGCTCGGAGCCCTCGGGAAAGATGTACGGGTTGGTGGTGCCGCCCTCGCCGCGGTCCATGTACTGCACCTGGATGGAGACGCTGAAGGCCTGGGCCAGCGCGATGATGTGAATGTGGTCGCTCTCCATGCACATGGGCTCCACCTCCTGCTGACAGAACTCCTTGACCGTCCGCCCCCCCCCCCCCATGAAGTGCTCGAAGAACTTGCTCTCCCGCTGCAGGTAGCCTGAGGTGAGCAGCCGCAGGTACACCACCAGGTAGTCCGAGGTGCTCTGGTCGTTGAAGGAGGCCAGCAGGTCGGCTACGGAGGTCTGCTTCTCCACCTGCTCGATCAGGTCCATGAACGTGTTGTGGAAATCCTCTATTGTGAACTCGGTGAAGCCCTGGGACACCAGGTCCTCTTTGCTCTTGGCGACACGGCCTTAAACCGCTGCAATTCCTTGCTGTCGTCCAGCAGCGCCTCCAAGTGCGAGAATCCGAAAGCTCGGTAGAAGCAGTTTCCGTCGGGTCTGGTCTTGCGGATGTATGAGTACCTTTTGTGGAGGTCCTTGATCTTCTGTTGATAGATGTTGTCATCCTCAGCATACTCCTTGTACAGGACCGAAAGTTCCAGCCGCTCCGAGACCAGGGGGGTTCTGCACAGCAATCTCTTGCTGAGTTCGGTCCTGCTGAGCCATGATGGCTTCATCATAAGCAAGACAGTTAACACCTTCGGAGTCGCTGCCGAGCGGCTCCTGCTTCCACTGCTGAGGTTCCTCCGCTGCCATCTTTAAACAGCACCGCCAAGTCTTTTGCTTTTTAAAAAGACATCAAAGCGGGGCGCCTGGGTGGCTCTGTTGGTTAAGTGACTGCCTTCGGCTCAGGTCATGATCCTGGAGTCATCGGGCTCCCTGCTCGATGGGGAGTCTCCTTCTCCCTCTGACCCTCCCCCCTCTCATGCTTTCTCTCATTCTCTCTAAAAAATAAAATCTTAAAAAAAAAAAAAGGCATCAAAGCTAAGGGAGCCCACCCACCCCCTTGTCAAGGAATTGAGATAAGACAAATGTTCTACCAACAAATGCTTTTCTAACTTAGTGAAGTAGAAGAATCACAATGCTAGCCTTTATGAAGTTTCTAGTGCTAGGTTGTTGTTGACGATGTTAGCCAGGCTCATCATTTTTTAGACAATACCCAGAACTGGGGTGCAGAAGAGCCAAGAGGCTTGGCCACAGCCACACCAGTCAGTCGGTGGCGCAGTGGACACCACATCCCAGCATCTGGCCTCCCCAGGCCAGTGCTTTTCCTTCTGGGCTACGAGGTCCTCTGTCTGGCTTGTAGTCCATCTCCTGATGGACTCTCCCATAGAGAGCTATATTACTATCTATGTGGTTCATTCATTTCCTATGGAATGCTCTTACTTTGCCTCCCCCTTTCATCTTCATCCTTTCCACATCCCATCCAAGACTGAAGCAGACGTAGTGGCAGCAAGAATGGTCCAAAATAATGAAATTGGTCTGGTGAAGAAGTCATTTAAATTAATGACATCCTGTTTTCTCTCTGCTTATTGTTGATGAGCTGAATCAAATAAAGCTTAATGTTTATAGGCTGCAATTTTTTTTGAAGTTTCTAAAGCTTTATTTATTCCAGCCATATCCATGGTAGTGATTTAAAACACATGCACAATTTCAAAAGTACAATAGGTAATATAAAGAACATCTGTGGATTTATCTTCCCAGAATCAATAAATGTTAACCTTTTTTTTATTTGTGTATTAGGGTTCTCCAGAGAAACAGAAAGTATATGTATATATGTGTATACATGCACAGAAAGAGATTCAGTTTAAGGAATTGGCTCACATGATTGCGGTGGCTTGGCCTGTCCAAAATCAGAAGGGATAGGCTGACAGGCTGGAGACTCAGGGTAGGGTTCTCCTGGCAGAATTCCTTCTTGCTTGGGAGAAGTCGATCTTTCTTCAAGCCTTCAACTGATTGGATGAAGCCCAGCCACATAATGGAGAGTAATCTGCTCTACGCAAAGTTCACTGGTTTAAATGTTAATCTCATCCAAAAAAAACACCTTTCCAGAAACGCCTGTCATAATTTTTGACCAAATCTTTGGGCAAAGTGGCCTAGCCAGGTTGACACGTAAAATTAACCATCACAATTTGCTTTTGATCTTGTTTAAGAAATAAAACATTACAAACATAGTTGATATCCTACTTATACCCATCGGTGGGCACCCTATTTAAAAGTGATAATTTTGTTTTTATAAACTCCTTTTTGTGATTTCAAACCCCTTTTAATCCCATTACCTAAATTCCAATTTCTGGTTCAATGTGAGGGTAAGAACTGAAGACATGGCCTCATATTTGCCATGGTGACATCTCCTTTCCAGGACCTTCTGGCCATAGGAAATTGTACATGGGTTCTATAGAAAATTCCATTATGAGCCATTGCACCAAGGTGGATTCACTGGGAATCACTATGCTGAATACACACAAAACTTACATAGTCAGATCACAGCATGTTTGGATGCTTCTGTCCAAATAGTTTCATCTACTCTTACATGATCCATGACCATTTTACTTGCCAGTTTATTGCAAGGATAAGTAAATGATGAACGTTCGGAAACTTGGAAAGAATAAGGGATGTCAGACAAACTCAAGGTACAGTGCACTACCCTCCCACCCCCCAGCCAGTTTAATTCTCCTCTGGAACCTGCTGGGTAAGAGGTCTGAGCTCTGCACGCTCCCAGATCCCTTCCAAAGCCTAGGATTCCATGACTGGTATTTGGAGTGATAGCATCCCTAACTCAAATTCTCTCTGATTTGCTGCTGTAGCTTATAGGCTCAGAGAGGCTGGGTCTTCCCCAAGGATATCAGGTACAGTGTAAGCTACAGATACCTGCTCAGCTGGATAAGCCTTTAATCATGGAAAGAAAGCTCCTAAAGAAGGAAATGAAAAAGCTCCTGTAAGTACGATTGAGAATAAATTTTTGTTTATTACACTAGGCCTTTGGTGGGTTTCAGGTCATAGATGGTCTGGATATTGGCAGGAGGTGGAGGTGGGTAAAAATCTGAGGAAGAATCTATTCCTGCACTATAGGAGAAAGCCAGATGATCTGGTCTCTGCCTCCTGCCTGAGAGGCCTCACATGTGGTGCAAAGCAGGATGCTGACTCTCTTGGATGTTTCTGCCGGGATCATGCATATCGTGCCTATCAGAGGCATCCCCATTCTAGAGCCTAACAGCTGAGCCCCCAGCCCAGACTGCCTGTACTGGTCAGGATGTGCCTTTAAAAGGGCCCTGCTGGTAAAAGATAGAGGAAAGATTTCTGCAAAATGTACCCAAGGGCCCAGCATTTCAATTGCAGCTTTTGCCGCTGGTATTGTCAGTCTTACCGACTAAATAATTCGTCTCCTTTCTCTTGACATCTGAACTTAAAAAAATAAAAATAAAAAACAAACAAAATGTCAAGTTTTCCCCTGGAAAAAAATTTTCTCCTATGGTAGCTTTTCTGTGACTTGGTACTTTTTTAAGAGGTTGGTGAAAATCACAGAGCACATAAAAAGGGGGGAAAAGGCTATTCTATTTCTTATACATTATAGGCACAACAATAATATCCTTTTGATCAAAGACCTTCTCACAGTCCCCATCAAATGTCCTTTCTCTGCCTACTATGGTAATTACTTTTAAACAAGTCCTTAAGAAATCCTGGAATAAAAAACATATGACTTTACACATATTTACATGTATGTGTTTGGAAGCCAATATAATAAAAAAATTGTTATCAGAAATGTCAATTCCTCCACGTAGAATTAGAATTTCAAAACTGATATAAGTATAATTTTATAACCAACGAATACATTTAGGTTACTTTAAATAGAGTATCTTGGAATTAGAAAGCAAAACTTGAGAATTTTTATCAATTTTAGCTTAATGACTCAGAAGAGCTTTTGGGAACCGGACACAAACTTACTCCCCCGCGCCCCCTCTGCCCTGGCAGTGGCTTGCCCAAAGTGCATGGTAAAGACCTTGAAAACAGAACCAGCCTTAGGTCCAAGTGTGGATCTGTACAGATGGACCCTGGGGACCCAGAATCCTTTTTCCTTCATCGGGTCCCTCTTCCTCTTCCTGACTTCCCCCCAGGGGTAGCCCCCTGTCTGTCCTCCTGCCAGGGCCACTAGGAAAGTATTCTACAAGACACCCTGAAGTAGAATTCCTGGTTTGTTTTTATGCATAACTCCTCTTCGGGGTATTTGCATTCTAATGGGGGAAAAAGGCCTTCGGGCAAGAGAATACATCCATACAGAATATCATATAGTTGGAGTTTTTCAAACTTTGGACATTCTGAGTTTAACATGGGCAGCAAGGGACTCTTTGTTTTATTTATTTATTTATTTATTTTTAAGATTTTATTTATTTATTTGACAGAGAGAGAGACAGCCAGAGAGGGAACACAAGCAGGGGGAGTGGGAGAGGGAGAAGCAGGCTTCCCCCTGAGCAGGGAGCCCGATGTGGGGCTCGATCCCGGAACCCTGGGATCATGACCTGAGCTGAAGGCAGATGCTCCACGACTGAGCCACTCAGGCACCCCACTGAGGGAATCTTTGTTTTAAACAGTGGGTCTCAATCCTTTTGGTTTTGGGAAATCATTTCTGCGTGTGGGAATGTGTCACGCCCCCCACCCTGCGTTCCTATCAATTCTATGTCTACTACGTGAATATTTATTTTTAGATAAATGTGATTGAAGTTCTTAGTGGTTAGACGTTTTAAAACCTATACATTGCAGGATTGCTATTTAAATCAAAACGAGTATCAGTCGAGCTACCGGAGGCACCTGTGACTTTGTATTTTGGTGGAGGAGGGAGGGACTGGGAAGAACGCTCTTCTGCAGACGGAGCTCCCCCCTCATTCCCAATGGTTCAATGCTGCTCTCTTGCTTTTAAGGGGAGATTATATTGGCATCAGACTTCGGGAAAATGAATTTGACCCAAAAGGAAGAAGGCAACTCACCTTTCTAGATGATATGGTAAAGAAAGGCATGCCAATGCAAGTCACATTTGTGTTATTTGTGTTCAGGGGTCGGAGCAAGGATCTAATGTAGATCATGAACAAGGTTCAGAATGTCCAGTTCCTCATCTTCTCATCCTAGGGCCCTCCACATGGCCTTTTCAAGTCATTACACTGCAAGCGGAAAGAATGAGAAAATAAGTCATGAGGCTTTTGCTATTTGCTCTTTCTCTCCTAGAAAAGATTAAAAAGCAAATGAGTGAAAGGTTAAATGTCAGATACATGATGTTAAAATTTTTTTTTGACAAAATGACTTATGTATTTCTCTAATCTATGTTTTCTTTTGTTTTTTACCATTTGCATTCATGGAGAAAACCACAGAATGAATAATCCTAAAATCTTTCCACATTATTCGTGTTGAAACTCAGATTCACGTTATGTAATGAAAGTTCACTTCACAGAAATTAAGGAAGAAATTATATAAAGATCTAATTCAAAAGAAATGAGTAAACCCTCAGCTTTTTTATGCTCACCATTTACTCCTCTTGCACTAAGAAGGAAGAAAGTCTCTCTCCCCGCCCCTCCCCCTCCCTCTGCCTGACCTCCCTGGAGCCCTATAAGCAGTTCAGCCTTGGGGTTCTAAAGTGCTTCCCTGTGCACATGTTAAATGGAGAAATTAAATCGATTAAATAAATGCTTCTCAAGCTTTAATGAGGTCTTAGTGCAAGGCCCTTTTGATTTGGGAGGTTTGGGTGGGGCCAGGAATTTGCATTTGTGATGAGCAAACAGGAGATGCCAAGGCTGCTGGTCCACGCACCAACCTTTGGATTGGGTTTCAACCCCTGATCATGGTTCTTTTTGTTGTTGTTCACTTTCTAGTCTGGTTTAGTTGCTGAAGAAATAAGTACAGTTGACCTTTGAATAACACGAATTTCAACTGTGTGGGTCCACTTATATATGGAATTTTTTTTATAAATACAGTACATTACTGTAAATGTATTTTACCTTATGATTTTCTTTTTTTTGATGGTTGGTGTATTATTTCTTTAAGATTTTATTTATTTATTTGACAGAGAGAGAGAGAGAGAGAGAGAGAGTGCGAGAAGGAACACAAGCAGGGGGCAGTGGGAGAGGGAGAAGCAGGCTTCCCGCGGAGCAGGGAGCCCGATGCGGGGCTTGATCCCAGGACCCCGGGACCATGACCCGAGCCGGAGGCAGACGCTTAACGACTGAGCCACCCAGGCGCCCCGTCTTACGATTTTCTTAATAACATTTTCTTTTCTCTAGCTTACTTTATTATAAATACGCAATATATAATATATATAACATATAAAATATGTGTTAATAGACAGTTTATGTTACTGGCAAGGCTTCCAGTGAACAGCAGGCTATTAGTAGTTAAGTTTTGGGGGAGTCAAAAGTTATAAAAGGATTTTAGACTGCAGGCATTGGTGCTTCTAACCGTTGGGCGTTCAAGGGTCAACTGCACATTGTTTAGACAATGTTAGAAGCTGAGAACCCCTCTAAAACCCCCAAGACAAAACCAACATTTCCTCTTCTGGAGGTGGGGGTAGAGCGGAGAGAAAAGGAAGATTGTGACAGGGACAAGATGAATACGCTTAGAATTTACCAGAAAGATGGTCAGTAGCATAGGAATGAACATTCAAATTGGTCCTCAGCTTTTTACTGTATACAGGACCCTTAGCAAGCCACTCGGTTGGCATCTACCTCCAGTCCTTTGCTCACCCTGGCCCCTCCACCCAGGATGTCCTTCTTCACCTATAGAATTCTCCTCGTCCTCCTCTTCAAGCCCCAGCTCCAGTGGGACCTCCCCTCAGAAGCCTCCTAATCTCCCCCCCCCCCCCCGCCCCGACTCTCCTGTGCTCCTGGGAGTGCATTTCCGATGTTCTGCTCACAGAATTGAAAATCATTCTCTGTGGCCCTCTTCCCCCACCTTCACCCTTTTCTATTTTAAAATTTGAGGAAACTGAGACCCTGAGAACATCAGTTGCTTACCCAAGGTTATACCGTGAGTTGTTGGCAATGTCTAGATTTGAATCTAGATTCCCTGATTCCTAGTTTCTTTTTATTTTTTTTAAGATTTTATTTATTTGAGAGAGCGAGAATGAGAGAGAGAGAGTACATGGGGGGAGGGAGGGTCAGAGGGAGAAGCGGACTCCCCGCCGAGCAGGGAGCCCGATGCGGGACTCGATCCCGGGACCCCGGGATCATGACCTGAGCCGAAGGCAATCGCTCACCCAACTGAGCCACCCAGGCACCCCTAGTTTCTTTTTTTTTTTTTTATTTTTATTTAAAAGAGAGAGAGAGAGAGAGAGAGAGCATGACTGGGGGGAGGGGATAGAGTGAGAGGGAGAAGCAGACTCCCCACTGAGCAGGGAGCCCGACACGGGGCTCGATCCCAGGACCCCGAGATCAAGACCTGAGCTGAAGGCAGACGCAGAACCGACTGAGCCAGCCAGGTGCCCCCCTGATTCCTAGTTTCTTTCCAAGAATCCATCCTTTCTTTTCCTGTCACCATGAATCAAAAATTTAAAGACAGCCCTAGGGAGAGGAAAACGTCATGACTGAAGATCTCTAAATAATCTGTCTGAGCATCAGGTTACTGGACATAGAGGATGGTCCTCACATTGTGGACATGACAAAATAGTAGACTAGGCTTAACAATGCCATTGTCATTGGGTCCATGGGGTGCTCCAGGCAATGTCCAAGCCCCTCCCTTTGCTGTCTGTGCTTCCTGCTTCCAGGCACACTATGACTTGGCCATCAATGTTGCTTTGCAATGGCTGGATCACTCAGAAGACTTAACTTGGCTGGAGTGGGAAAAAGTGTGAGTTGAAATAGTATTTTTTCCTTCTTCTTTTTTAAATGTATGACTATGAGTAGCGATAGAGAAAGCTTCTGTCTGGCATCTTCCACCATGAGGCACTCTGATTTGAAAACGCTGCAGGGTGAGTATCCCTCACCAGCTAGATAACCGAAGAAACCCCACAGTTGTCAACATAGACATGTTTACATTGCATCTCTGTTGATTGGTTTCTGTCAGATGATCTTTCTCACACATAATGTTGTGTCTTAGAAATATAACTGTGCCTTATTGGGCATGTGTCATGATTTCTTAAAATGGTCAATTCTGTGGGTAAAGGCTGCCGTTGTTTTCAAAGGACTATCAAACACAATTTCTGAAGCATTTAACTAGATAGATCCCTGAGCTGGAGCTATTTGAACTACAGCTGTTTGAATCCCTTCCAGGATTATAGGCATGTTCATGTGTGCCAGGCAGACTCACTCAGTTGGTAAGAATAAGGAACTAAGGAGACCAGGATTTAATAGCTTCTTCTGGAGGCCAGCTATTTTTTCTGTTCCATTGCCTTAGAACACATACCTTGTCCTGGATAGCTATATCAATTAGGGTTTAGTTGTAATAAGCAGAAAGTCCAGCTTGAACAGACTTAAACACACTCCCAAATGGGAGGGGAGTAGGAATTTATTAACTTTATTTGAAAAGTCCAGGGGTAGGTCTACATTAGGCATGGCTTGATTCAAAACTCAAATCATGTCATCAGGATTTACTTCTAGACTAATTCCTCTGGATGGACATTCTTCTTTTTTTTTTTTTTTTTTTTTTTTGAGAGAGAGAGGGCATGTGTGAGCACGGTGAGGGGCAGAGGGAGAGAGAGAGAGAGAATCCCAAGCAGGCTCCACACTCAGCACAGAGCCCGACGTGGGCCTCGATCTCAGGACCTGATCTCAGGACCCTGAGATCATGACCTGAGCTGAAATCAAGAGTCAGATGCTTAACTGGTTGAGCCACCCAGCGGTGGACATTATTCTTAATTTCAGCCCATTTTATCACAATATTCAGTCCATAGGAGAATAGATTAAGAAAAAAATCACAGAATTGTGTCTCAACTGTGCCTCAGCCCCTGACTTGTCCAGAGGTGGAGGGTGAGAGGAATGGAATACTCTGACTAGCTTAGTCCACAGTGTGTTTTCCACCCTTGGGATCCAGGGGTGTTTGTAGCTCCCCTAGAAGCAGATAGGCTTGCGGTGGGTAAAGCAGTTCTCCCCAGCAAGAAGGGAGAGCTCTGCCACAAGAAGGGGAAAAGGATACAGGTTGGCAAAACCATAACTGTCCACCATAGTGGCCAGTGTTTGAGAGCTGTGAAAACACGCATAGAAGGCAAACTCATCACCACTGTTAGAAGATTCGGAATTCAAAGTATGTACTTGACTGACGGCAGACTAATCACCTCAGTTTTGTAAATAAGTGCATAACACATGGCCATTGGAGATTAATTATGGATTATTATTATTATTATAAGCTTACCAGGAGTCAAAAAGAACAAAAATAAACCTTCCACTGTTATTTATTCATATTCCCCCTCAGGAAAATGCCATTTCATGACGGACCTGTTTATCCAAACCGGAAAGAAAGAGAAGCAATGATTTTATCATCTTATGCTGGAATCCTAATGGTAAGGAAAAGAACACTATTTGCATATATGGAGATTTTATATTTATTATGTGCATTTTTATATTAATGCATATTTATTTTCTTTTTCAACCGATCTTTCTGAATGCCTAGGATTTACTAATACTAAATGTTTCAGTTTTAAAGATATGGTAAAAAATCTTTGACTTCTATATGGTATTGTGAAAACATGTATTTAAAAGGCAAAAAACCAGAATGAAAGACATATATAATTAGATACTGTAGACTCTGATTTATCCATTTATTCAGAAGTTATTTATTTATGGGCCCCTGGGTGGCTCAGTTGGTTAAGCGACTACCTTAGGCTCAGGTCATGATCCTGGAGTCCCGGGATCGAGTCCCGCATCGGGCTCCCTGCTCAGCAGGGAGTCTGCTTCTCCCTCTGACCCTCCCTCCTCTCATGTGCTCTCTCTCTCTCTCATTCTCTCTCTCAAATAAATAAATAAAATCTTTAAAAAAAAAAAAAGAAGTTATTTATTTAGTGCCCATGCTATCCAGGCATGATACTAGGCATACGGGAGCTATAATTGCTTTGTTTTGTAATGTAAGAAAAACCATGATATGATGATGCATTTGTTGGTGCTACTGTCTTGTGTTTTTTTTTTTTTTTAACAGAACAGTATCCCAATTGAGGAAGTCTTTAAAATGTATGGAGCTGATTCTTCTACCAATTCTGGGGCTACTAAGGTAGGGGTGATCTGACACTATCAATAAAAGGGATTTTTAGAGAAAACTTATTTTATAAATTTAAAATGTATTTTTAACATTTTCAACTGCATGAAACAACAGTTGTTTTTTTTTTAATCAAAATGTACAAAACCAGATGTAGCCATATCTTACCTGGATAACAAATCTTTGTAAAATGATTTCCTTACGTGAGGGCTGTGTCAGTAATAACAACAAGTATTTTGCGTAAGGCTGAGTAGAGGCAGCAAACACGGCACCAGGCTTATGGTCTAGATTCTGCCTCTGTTTCTGGTGAACAGAATTTCTCACCTACACATTTTGTAATGTAGGTTTGGCAAGTCCAAGCACTCCTCTTGCATGATGTACTAGAACATTTAGAACTAGGAGAAGATCTGCAAGGTTCAAACTCATGATAAATTCTGTAGTTCGTTGCTATCACTCTTCTTCTTCACATGAGAGTCCTTTAAATCATAGCAGTAGAAGAAGCAACTATCAGAAGTCCGGTGACCTGAGTTCTGACACCACTTCCACGGAGCCTTAGGTTCCTGTCCTTCTTTGAGTTTCCATATACCGATCTAAAAAAAATTTTTTTGAATATTCTGAATGATCTTTATAGCCAGTTCAATTTTTGCTATTTATGGACATAGGCACATTTAGTAGACATTAAATACAAGCTGGTATTTAGAGATGAACTACCAATCGGTTTACCTTTAGATACCTCTAGAAAAGGGAAGAGACAAGGGGGTTAGTGCAGGAGGGGTGTGCAGGGAGGGAAGAGAGGGACTCCATACCCTCATACCCAGCTTTCTGCTCACACTGTCACTTCCGATGCCCCACCCAGTCTTGGCAGGAAGGCCAGGGCAGGGGCAGGGCTATGACCACAGAAATGCCTGCCCCCCTTGTTCTTTTACCCGTAGACAATACAGCGAACAGTGGGGTCATATAAAATCAAGAGCTCACCAGGTCCAGCTTAAGAGTCAAGCATTTACTAAGAAGTGTTGTAACTTGGAATCCGACTGCCCCATCACCTTAATCCCTATGAAAGCTGGCTCTCGTCCTAAGACTCAAGGTCCCTTGATCACAGAGGACATCAGCACCTTTCCTCTGATCACCCTAGTTTCAACTTCATTCATTCAGTATAATTTACGTACAAGGGATATAATGGTGAACAAGTCAGACAAGATAATTTTTCTCACGGGTCTTATATCTTATGTTGGAGCTGCCATTCTACCTTGGTTGAGATATAAGCCACCCTAGGCCCAATGCTCCTCAGAGACCAAGCTGTCCTTGGCTTTTAAAGAAAGATCTTTTAGTTCCTTAGATAGCCAAGCAAACCAAAATGCTTCACTCCTGCTGGTTTTTTCGGTAGCTTTCCCCCTTCCAGACTGCCCTCTTTTCCCGTTTCCCCAACACACCCCCCAATATATACACATAAATATCTCAGTCCAACACCTTCTGGTTCAGCCATTGCATTTTTCCACATCTCCTGATGCCTGGGGATGGCTAGGGCAGGCATCAGACCTTGACTGGTTGGCCTCAACTCACAGGGTCAAAGGGCAAATATAGACAATCACATCCTGGAGGAGATGGCCCTATGAACCCTTCCATTCTTGGTCGGGTTATCAATCAAGAAGATTTGCAAACATGGTTGTCCAAGTAGCTCAGGCCATGTAACCAAGTAGCCAGGTTCATTTTAAAGGGCCAGACTAGGAAGCCATGCTGTTTCGAGGTGGGCTGGCCAATTTCTATCTATCCATCCCATCTTTCACTTATTCAGTAAAGAGATTTTATTCAGCACATTCTCTGTTTGGTTATGCACAGTCTCTGTCCTCATATCAGTGACCAAAATCAAAAAGCCCAGATGTGCACATGGACTACACAATGACCAGCTCGAAAGGGAAATAGATAATACGTCATGGAGGAGCTTTCCTTCAAACACCTGCATTTGTATATTGTTACAGGATATGACTGTCAGCTCATTTATTGATTTGTAACTGGAAGGCAGCTTCGGGTAAGGGTTCAGCATGAGGATTCTGAAGCCAGGCTGCCTGGGTTTGAACCAACTTTGAGCAGAGGAATCCTGGACAACTCTTCTAAATTCATCATCTTTGATTTTATCATAAAAACAGGGAATAGAAAATGGGATTGTTGTGGGAAATGAGATGAATTAGTACCAGTAGAGCCCTTAGTGCTTGGCACATGGTAACCTCAAAACAATAACTATAGTTAAGGTTCTGGTACTTGGGATTTGAATGTCTGATTTCCTCTATATTCCTGTAAATCAAGGTTTTTCAACATTTCAGTCCAGATAATTCTTTGTTGTGTGTGTAGGGGTGGAGCGGGGGGCTGTCTTATGCATTGTGGGATGTTTAGCAGCAGCCTCTACCCTTTAGATGCCAATAGCTTCCCCTCAGTGTGACAACCAAAAACGTCTCTCAACTTTGCCAAATGTCCCTTAAGAAGCAAAATCACAGCTGGTTGAGAACTACTGCTCTGAATAATTAAATAGCTCATCAAGCATCCTTATATAATACTAACATAATATAAGCTTTGCCTATTTTAGACACCGAATTATCACAAAGGGTACAATACCATTTGAGCTACAAATACAGAGTCTAAGGATTACCCACCCTTGTGGACCTCACAAGATCCTCCCAGCTTCAAGAACGCCAGCCCAGGCCTTTCTATTGCAGCTATATATCAGTTCAATTCAGGGACCTCCTCCACATCTTAAACAAGAAATTAGTAGAACCTCTCAATGGAAATGTAGCATTTCAAAGATTACATTGTAGGAGATATTTTAAAAGTCTTTTGAGGTTTAACATAATTTCAGAAAAGTTGTTCGAAAGAAGTTATTGACAAAGATTCTTCTCTAATGGCTGCATATATCTGAATAAACTTTGATTCCTTTAGATAACATGTCTCCTAAGCAACAGCTAAAATCCTCTCCAAGCAAGAGCTTAAAGCCCTGTAGAATACTGATTAGAGTGTGGAGAAGTTCTGGCCACTAGAATTGGCTACATGATATAATATGGGTTATGCATAGTCTTGACGGCTTTCTTCAGGAGTATTTGCTGCCACCTGGTGACAGAAAGGCATCACGGGTGCAATGTTGTTCACCGATTCTATTGTCCTCAGGTTCTACTCCTGATAGCGAGCTGCTATTTGACGACAGGGAGCCATTTTTCTGCTGAAGACCTTGGGCCTATAGAGAAAAAAATCAACTAAGGGTCTCACACAAATGACGGTATTTACGATTAGCTTCAGATAAATATAAAATCGCCTACTCAATTTTAAGCTGAAGAAAAAGGAGCATAAATCTGCCTTCAACACAGCAAGCAAGCAATAGAAATATTCTTCACTTCCATTTGTCAGAGAAAGAGGGAAAAAGGAAAGGGAAGCAGAGAGAGTAAAAATTAGTGTAACCGAGAGAGGAGGAAGACAAGGAAAGGTGGCTGGAGATCAGCAGAACCTCTACTCCTCTCTTTCTGCAGCCACACCCCAAAGTCTGAGGGGCCATCATTTAACTCCATCCTGAGTCCAAAACAGACTCTTCAGAGGCAGACAGATCGGTGTTCCGTCCCAGCTCTGCTACTTCCTAGCTGTGTGGCCTTGGATGAGTTTCTTAATTTCTCTGATTCCCAATTTCCCTATGTGTAAATATGCATGATTACACTTCCAAACTATACTGGGTCCTTCTGAGCATTCAGTGAGACCGCACATACCAGGTGCATGATGCTGGCGTGGGGTGGGGAGCCTTCAACATTAAGTATTATTTCCAAACCCACCCCCGCTCCTGTTTCCCATCCACAGGAGTCCACCAACAGCAGCCTGGTCTCTCTGCAGCAGGTCCATCTTCCCACCTCACACCCTTCTGCAGCCCCAGCCTCTAGGCACTTACACAATAATCTGCCGAGTGTTTTCTCTTCTTGGAGGATGCTGATCCAGCCTGAAGTGTACAGATGTGAAAAAGCATTTTCATGATAAGGAGAGGGACCTATCAGGTTTAAACAAAAGCTCAATATTGGCAGATCTTCATGAAGGGAGATGGAAAACCATGCTTTCGATATCCATTATGTCCAAATGAATACTTATGGTATATGTTTAAAGTATAAAACCCAAGCAAACAACAAATCCACCAAAGGGATGAAACGGAACAGTATCAACAGTTTGGGAGCTCTCCGTGCATCCTCTCCAGCCCCTACCCTTCTTGTTGCTTCACATTTCTACTATCTGGAATCATGGGTTTATAATTTTCTTGTCTTTCTTTCTAGTTTTACCACATATGCATGTCTCACCAATATATTGTTTAGTTTTGCATGTTCTTTGAACTTGATAGAAGTAATATAAAAAGCAGTCTTTATAAGTGAAGCAAATGTTTTATTCCATGGCTTTCTTTTGTCATTCAACACTATGGTGCACAAATTCATCCCTGTGGTTACACATAGTTTATTTTCACTGCACATAGCATTCCGTTGTAGGAGTATGCCACAATTTCTTTATATATTCTTCCGTTTTAGACATTTGGATGATTTCTATTATATGTTTCTTTATGTCCAGTAAAAGAGTTTCTGTGTGGCCTATGGGATGTGCATCTCCAACTCTGCATAAAGCCAAACTGTTTTCCAAAATGGTCATACCAATGTACACTTCCACCTGCAATGAGCTTATCTGGCTGTTACCAACACTTGCTATTTTCAGGCTTCTCAAGTTTGTCAGTCTGTTAGGTGGCTGTGATCTTTACATTCCTCTGATTACCAATGAACAACTATTTTTACGTTCTTCTTCTGTGAAGCGCCTGCTAAAAATCTTCTGTCCATTTTTTTTTTTTTGGTTGGGTCATTTTTCTTTCTTCTTCTTGTTTTTCTAAAATTTACACAGAGCCTCAATTTTTAGAAAAGCTGCTATAGGATATAATCAGTCAAGTCCTAGATTTTCCAGTGCTCTTCCTATTTGAAATTTGCCTTCTCTCTTTACAAATATTAAAATGTTTAGAAAATATGATGTTGCACCATCCCAAACACATTTGAAAAACTTCTTGGACAGTACAAGCTGTCTTTCTGGACCATGTGCCCTGCTTTTACTTTGGAAAGTATGATATTCATGAGCATATGTTCAATTGCTTTGACATCTAGAATCAGAAATTCTCTACCTTCTGGCTCAGTGATACCAAATGACATTTTAATAAGTTACTGCTCAGGCTGAAAGGCAGATGAAGATTATTGGCTGTACTCTTCACCCCTTGGGGCGTCTGGGTGGCTCCATCAGTTAGGCATCTGCTTTTAGCTCAGGTCATGATCCCAGGGTCCTGGCTCCCTGCTCAGTGGAGAGTCTGCTTCTCCCTCTCCCTCTGCCCCTCTCCCCACTCATGCGTGCTCTCTGCCTCTCAAATAAAAAAAGGAATCTATACTCTTCATCCCTTGCTGATGTATCCAGGTCATTTCTTGTGCAAGTTCCTATATGACATCCCCCATCTTCTCTCTCTCTTCCCACCTCCAGTTAGAAGAAATTTTTGTTGAATGGCTTTGGACATAATTGAGCACTTAATAAGAATATGAATTAAGAAATAACAATTGTAATAATACTTCTATATTGACACAATGATGATATTAGTAAATAGCTTTAAAGTAAAAAAAGAATATATGATCAACTCTAGGCTTAGGATTTGATTTTCATCCTACTTTGGGAATAATTTCTCATATAAGCCACACAGGAAGCCATAGGAACTTCTTGCATGAGCCATCAGATTATCAGGACTCATAGAATATTTGAACTGGAAGTGACCTTTAAAATCATCAGTTTCTATCTTCCCCAGGGGATAAGGAACTAGAGCATCTGTAAATATAAAGCTTGAATCTCTCTCAGTGAGAAAGCAGGAAATGATTGATCTTTTATTTTTTTTAAAGATTTTATTTATTTATTTGAGAGAGAGAATGAGAGAGAGCACGAGAGGGAAGAGGGTCAGAGGGAGAAGCAGACTCCCTGCTGAGCAGGGAGCCCGATGTGGGACTCGATGCCGGGACTCCAGGATCATGACCTGAGCCGAAGGCAGTCGCTCAACCGACTGAGCCACCCAGGCACCCAATGATTGATCTTTTAGAGGGATATTAATTACTTCAGGGCTCCTGGCTCTGATTAGTTATTAGTTATTTGATTAGTTATTTCCAAGCAGGATCTTGTAAAGGAAAGGGTGGCCAAGTTGTTGCCATGGGTTATTCTACACAATAGAGATGATGATGATTATGACAAATATAAATAATAATTATTATTATCAAAAAAAGAATAATTATTATTATCATTAATCTTAAAACCAATATACTGTACTATGTGCCAGGCACTATTCTAAGTACTTTACATATGCTAACTTTAATTCCTACCACAACTCTATAAGGTCATTACCAGTATTATTATTATCACATGAAGAAACAGGCACAAAGGAGTTAGGTGACATGCCCAAGGTCACACATCTTATAGATAGATGGTGCAGCCTGCACTCACATACTGCCTATTTGACCCTAAAGTGTATGCTGTTAACCACTATTGCTTGGCTAGAATGCTAGCCGTTCAACTAGTCAATGACACCTGAGGGCCTCCTATGTACTAGGCACTCTTTAAGGCACTGTAGAGAAAAGGTTAAATTCGCTAATTTAATTAATTAAAAAAATAAAGTTAATCCTTTAACAGGGAGCCTACTGGGCTCCCTGTTTCCACACTCCAACCCGTTCTCCACACGGAAGCCAAAGCGATTTTTTTAAAACCTAAGTCAGACCTCGTCACACTAGAGCTTAAAAATATTGCAATGGCTTCCACTGAGTCCTGGAATAATGTACAGCTCCATACCGTGGCCCACAAGGACCCATATTATCTGGCACCGGCCTGCCTGCTTCCCAGCCCCATCTATAATTTCCCCCTTTCTCCCTATGCTCTAGCCACCCTGGCTTCCTTTCTGTGTCTGGAAACACAGGTTACTCCAAGAAGACCTTCTCGTTCTGGAACGAGCCTGGAACACTCTTCTCCAGCTCGTCCCCTGAACGGCAGCCACTCAGTCTAGAAAGCTCAGCTGAAGAAACACTGCTTCTTTCTAAAGGCTTTCTCTGGCCCTCTGCAGTGGTGGCTGTCCAGTCGCTTGCTAGTACATCATCTTGATTTGTTTATTAAACTCATCACAGTGGATGATTTATTGTTTGCGTTTCCTCACTCGGCTCCAGCAGGGCGGGAGGCCTTGTCTGTCTTAGTGACCACAGCTCCTGACACAGGGCCTGGCGCATAGTAGGTGCTCACTGAGAACTTGTTGAAGGAAGGAAGGAATGAAGAGATAGTCTTAACCTTGAAGAAGTTTCCAGTGCAGCAGACAGTGGGTTGTAACTAACTACAGCACACTGGGGTTGCTCTATGTGGTGCATGCTTTGAGTTCCCAGATGAATGAGTCAGTAATTCTGCCTTAGGGTAAGGTTGGGGCGTGGGGTGCCAGTGGGGGTGGGAAGACACGGGGCAGATGTCTCAGAAAAGGTGATATGTGAGCTACATCTCAAAGGAAAAGTAGGAGCCTCTAGGCGGAAAATAAGCAAATGGTTATCCCAGGTAAAAGGCAACAATGTGCAGAGCATCAGTGTGTGAAAGTGCATCCTGGGCAAAGGGGACCAAGAGTGGGAGCAAAAGGCAGAGTACGAACGTGCATGCCGTGTGAAATGTGAGGCTCCCCAGCAGGTGCTCGGTGCTGTCTAAGGACTATGGGTTGGTTCAACAGACCAAGTGCTACACCTAGCAGGTGTTAACAGCCACACCTGCAGCTGTTAAAAAGAGGACTGTTTTCCTTTCAGGTACCCCGAGCTCCACCCCTCCGCCTCTCCCTGCATCCCTTTGCCATGTTAACAGCACCCAAAGCAGCAGAATACGCCCACAAACAGAGTAAGCCTCTTTCCTTCCACCTGCTTAGGGGAAATTTAAGTAAACCTAAGAGTTAAACTCACAAAGTAAGGCCAAAGTTGTTACGGTAATAAGATTTCTCTGTCCAGTTGAATAAAGAGGAAACAAACCAGAAGGATTCATGACTTAATTTCCCTTCATTATAGGAATCAGGGAAGTCTTACTTCTCAGACCCTTTAGTGACAGGAGCAAGGCATTCCAGAAGGGAAGGATCTAAACCTGTGGGTGGACTCATTTAAAAAAAAAAAAAAAACGTTTTCATACAGTTACGGTTACCACATGTGTCTCTAGGTGTCAAGTTAAGAAGGGGACCAACAAATAAAAATGTCACCAGCAGCTCTGCAAGGGAAGCAAATGCCACAGCGTGGAAATCATCAAAAAATGTATCTTTGGACACCCAGCCGAAGAACAAAGTAGGTCGAAAAATATAAATTGGACCAAACGGATCCCAAGGGTTTGGGGAGTACTCTACTGATATTGTGGTTAAAAGTCCAACCTTTGGAGTTAGATGCTGTGGGTCTGAATCTAAATGAAGCCACTACGGGGGCGCCTGGGTGGCTCCGTCGGTTAAGCATCTTCCTTTGGCTCAGGTCATGATCTCAGGGTCGTGGGATCCAGCCCCGCATCGGGCTCCCTGTCTCCGCGGGGAACCTGATTCTCCCTCTTCTCCCTGCTCCTGGCCTCTCTCTGTGCGTCAGTTTCCGCCTCTACAAAGTGAGAAAAATAAGGGTACCTCCTCTCCAGGTTGTCGGGATAAATAACTGGGATTATGCACTTCAAGAGATTAGATGTGTGCTTAGTGCTGAGTAAACCCTAAATAAATACGGACCATGATATTTGGGAAATACTATTCACCAGTTAATCAGCTGTTATTCTTTGATTCAACTAAGTGTGTTGAGGAGAGTTATATGAATGTCTGTGTCCTAAAGATTTCTCTTCTCAGTCCCTTTCTCACTCATGAAATTTTATCTTTGCCTACTTTGCATCTCTGCTGCTCCCGCCCTGTCCATCTGGTTCCTGGGACATTTATGCTGCAGAATTCAGAGAATGGTCGGAGATGCACAGGGCTGGAGACAAAGGAGAAAGGCGGGAGAGTTCTTGGCCCTTCCAGCCCTCGGCTCTCTACTGTAACGCGCAAAGTGAAAAGGAAATTTAAAAAGTCGTCAGGAGACCAAGTTAGTGAACATAATAAAAGCTGAGAGGGGAGAGAATCAGATAAGTGGTACAGCTGGTGGCTGGGATATTTTAGGACTTTGTTGAATGAGAGGCTGTGGACCAGCTGCAGGGTTGTAAGGTAGGAAAGGGAAATTGGGAATTTCGAAACTTGGTACACTGGGTTATGAACTGCGTTTGCTTTAAGAAACACAAGTGAAAATTAAACACAAGTGAAAATTAAAATTTCTTATTATCTAGTTTGGTTGCTGTACTGTGCATCTTTTAATATGAATCTCTGAATAGACTGGACCACATAAGGCCCAGGATTCATTCAGGTTTTAGAGGCAAACAATTGACTGGTGAGAAATATAACCTCATCATAGCAAATGCTTTAGGAACAACCTGAATTCTTTGGTCACATTAGGGTTTTAATAAGTGTTATTCTAGTAACATAACAATACCACTATTGGGAAATCTTTACTATATTGAGTTTCCTTTTAAAGATATTTGCTATAGTGAGATTTGAAGGCATAACTTTTCTAGAAACGTATCTGTTACTGAAGAACTGTTTGAAGTAAGATGAGGCGTTGTTGTTTTTTTTTTAATATGAGTTTGGATATAGCAAGTTCTAAATAGTAAAACAGAACAACAGGAGAAAAAAATAACTCCAGAAATAACACACAGGTGCGCGCACACACACACACACACATACACACACTGATATCTAGACTTTAAACTTAATCATGAAAAAAAATACATCTCTGAAACAGAGGTTCTTAGACCCCTTGAGGCTCATCTATGCATCCGACGTACTGAAAATCCAGCTCTCAAGATGATTCATTGGTATGTTTGTTTTGAAAATATTATTTCATTTCCTGTATATTTCCTTCCATAACCATTGAAGATTGTTGGCTTCTTGATGGAAGCAGATCTTTTATTTCCTTATTATTTCCCACATGTATATAAAGTGCTTTGCAAGCCGTGGCTATTCAATAATTATTGTTGATAAGTGAATTGGCAATAACTACATGGTCCTGAGTGTTCTCAAAACACTGTGCTCTTCTAAACTGATTGAGAAGTTCCTTTCTAGGGACCAGCCATTTCTATAGCCTAATTAATGCCTATTAGTCTAGGATGTCCAAACAATAAGTGCCTATTTTGCAGTAGGGATAGGTCTTGAGATAAATCCTTTCCATAAAGTCCTCTTCTTGAAAATCAAACAGCAGAAAACACATCTATGATTTTTGTTCATTCTTTATTATTTGTGTACTTTAACATCTTTGCCAACCTCTGCGTAATGTACTTTTTAAATTAGCTTAAAACATTATCATAATAGTACATGCTTATGGCAAAAATTTCAAACAATAGAGAAAATATAAACTGAAAAAAAAAAGAATTCCCCCTTCCCCACAGCTCTGTCATATTCCTCAGAAATAACCACTGTTAATATTTCTTGTGCTATTCAAATATTTGCTGTACATGTACATATAAATATACATACATGTGTCCTACTGATTTGTTAGAAATTAATGAAAAGTCTTTTTGTTAAATGTATGGAAAAGGCACGCCTGGGTAGTTCAGTTGGTTAACCATCCAACTCTTGGTTTCAGCTCAGGTCATGGTCTTATGGGTCATGAGATGGAGCCCCACGTCAGGCTCCATGCTCAGTGGGGAGCCTGCTTGAAGATTCTCTTCCTCTGTCCCTCCCCCCATTTGCACACTCACACTCGCTCTTTCTCTAAAATAAATAAATCTCCTATTTTATTTTTATCTTTTTGAAGATTTTATTTATTTATTAGAGAGAGCACAAGGATGAGCAGAGGGAGGGGCAGAGGCAGAAGGAGAGGGAGAACCCGACTCCCCACTGAGCAAGGAGCCCGATGTGGGGCTCCACTCAGGACCCTGGGATCATGACCTGAGCCGAAGGCAGATGCTTAACCAACTGAACCACCCAGGTGCCCCTAAATAAATCTTTTTTTTTTTAAAGTTTGGAAAATAGGGCGCCTGGGTGGCTCAGTCAGTTAAGCATCTGCCTTCGGCTCAGGTCATGATCCCAGGGTCCTGGGATCGAGCCCCGCATCCGGCTCCCTGCTTGGCAGGAAGCCTGCTTCTCCCTCTCCCTCTGCCCCTGCTTGTGTTCCCTCTCTCGCTGTGTCTCTCTCTGTCGAATAAATAAATAAAATCTTAAAAAAAAAAAGGTTGGAAAATAGACTTTCACAGTTTATTGCTTGAGAAAGTTTTTCATTTTATATATTTCAGCTTCTGAGTCTTTTCCTTACCCATATGTTTTATGGATATTGTACCATGTCTTTTAGCTGGTAAACAACTTTTTTCAACCTCAAGATAAAACAATGCTTCTTTCAGAATTTTGTATTTATTTCCAGCCACAGAACTGCTTCATAAAGTAAGGGAAAGGAAGAATTTTCTTTTAAATAATCGAGGTATTTGGTGAAATAGTTTTAAAGATTTCTTTTATACTATATTAATATTAGCAATCCATTTATTAGTCAAAATGAATATGAGCAACACCATATCCTAGGAAAGTGTAGATACTGAGCACATTATCAGGAAATGGATTCGGAATGGACAGGACCATACCAAAGAACTAGAAAACAGATACCCTGTTGATAAAGAGTGTGGATTCTGGAGTCACACAGCCCAGAATTTACTCTTGGGTCTCCCATTTAATAACTGGCATGAATTGTTAAGTGAATCTCTCTGCTTCTGTTTCTCATCTATAAAGAAAAGATTCTAACAGTACCTATCTCATAAGGTTGTTACAAGGACTAAATGAGCTCACATATATGGAACGGCTTAGAAAAGTGCCAGGACCATTGCTAGCAATAACACAGGTGCTCCCATGACTACTACTGCCCCTGACAAAGTCACAGTATCGTGAACCGGAGCAAGACACAGAGACAGGGCAATTTGAGGGATTCTGGTTTCCAGTTCCACCGGCAAGGAATTTAGAGACTGCCACTCATCCTAATAAGTAAAAAGCTGAACAGGCTGAGAAAACAACTCCTCTTGGATCTGTAAGACAGGGGAGGTCAAAGGGCAAACCTCTGCCCCCAAGTTTGGAGAGACAGATAGGCGGATATAGGGAGTTAGGGTTTACCAGAGCAAAGACTCACAAGCAGAAGCTGCCAGAAATACAGGGCTGGAGTAGGAAACCCTTAACTGCAATTGGCAAATCACAGGAACCTCAGTGCAGACAACTCGGAGGGTTAAAAACTCCAGGGGGACCCAGTCATAGCAGGGTACCACAATTTTGTGAGATTTACCTGCAGGAGCTCTGCCAGGTTCTCACAGTAAATCCTGGAGAAAATTCTGTTCAGGTTTCCAGCAGTTGGGGGAGGGGGAGAATGGGAGGAGGTAGGGGTGGAGGAGGGAGGTGGGGGAGGAATCATTTTTATTTATTTTTTTAAAGATTTTATTTATTTATTTGACAGAGAGAGAGAGAGAGTACAAGCAGGGGTGCGTCAGGGCGAGGGAGAAAGCAGGCTCCCCCTGAGCAGAGAGCCTGTCCTGGGGCTGGATCCCAGGACCGCAGGATCATGACCTGAGCTGAAAGCAGACGCTTAACCCACTGAGCCACACAGGCGCCCCGAGGAACCATCTTTAAACACAACAGAGCACTCTGTTCTTAACAAGGCCTGCCCTGAGTGGCAACTAGTTAACTGTAGCTTACCTGTTGATGTTTTATCCGAGCCCAACTGACCTAGAAGAAGGGAAAGACCCACTCCAGTCAGCTCTAGTCATCTGGTCCCAGCTAGAGGAGAGGAAAAACTGAGAAACACTTGTAAAGTTCCAAAGTCCAGAGGCACAGGCTCACCAAAGACTGAGATCTAATCATAGGACTACAGAACCCTTCCTATCCCCCCACCCCCCCAACACCACATCACTAAAGACCTATTTAGAGAATTCGTTTTGCCCAGGACATCATGTCTAGCTATCAAGAAAGAATTATAAGATATACTAAAATGCATAAAACATAAAAATTTAAAGAAACGGAGCAAGCATTACAAACAGACATGGCAGGGATGTTGGCACTATCAGACCAGGAATTTGAAACAAATCTGACTTATGCTAAGAGCTCTAATGGATAAAGTAGACAGCATGCAAGAATAGTTGGGCAATGTAAGCAGAGGGAAGGAAATCCAAGCTGTTAACCACAGAATCCAGGTGGTAGGCACATGTATCTTCATTGTACAAATATTTCACCTTTTCTGTATGAAAATTTTCACATAATAAAATTATGAAGGAGAAAAGAAAAAAGAAATTGTCAGAGTGGATCAAAACACAAGACCTGATTATACGTTGTCTATAAGACACCCATTTCAAATATAAAGACACATATAGATTAAAGGTAAATGGATAGACAAAATAAATCACACCAGCCCTAATCAAAAACAAGAAAAAGCTATATTAATTTCTGACAGAGCTGACTTCAAAGCAAAGAAAATTAGCAGGGATAAATAAAGACATTTGATAAAAGGGTCAATTCTCTGAGAAGACATACAAACCTTAACGTGTGCACCGGACAACAGAGCATCAAACTACATGAGGTAAAAATGGATAGGGCTGCAAGGAGAAATCGCTGGCTCTGCTATCATAGCTGGAGACTTCAGCAACCCTCCATCAGAAATGGAGGGAGGGTGATTCAAGTTTAAATTCAAAGCAATATATAACATTTTAAAATAATATGGCATAAGCACAATACACAACTGCTCAGTGGCAAAAAGAAATGATTTGCTTTGGATATAATTAGTCAAAAGAAGTATAAATTTTATTATTTGTGTTTCAATTTGGAAATAATTTTGAGTTTAGAGGAAAGTTACAAGAATAGCACAAAGAGCCCTCATACACCTTTTACTTAGAATCACCAATTGTCAGCATTTTGTTCCATTAACATCACCATTTTTTCTGCCTCTGTCTCTCTCTTTGTCTTTCTCTCTGTATATAGATACAGAATTTTTTTTCTGAGCCATCCAAGTTACACCTGCCCTATCATTATACCCCTATATACTTCAGTGTGTATTTCCTGAGAACAAAGTCATTCCTTAAATAACCTCAGTATAACGATCAACTTCAGAAAATCTAACATTGATACTTTTATTTGATCTACCATCTATATACCAATTTTTTCAAGTGACCCAATAATGTCCTTTGCTAAACATTTTTTCTTTCTGTACAGGATTCAGTGTGGGGTCATATACCGCATTTAGTTGACAAATATAACTCAATTTCCAAACCTCTCAGAACAATTCCATGGAAGTTCTTTTGTACCTACATGTATTATAATCCATCTTTGTCAGTAACTTAGTATTTGATATTAGACCTCAACCCCCTATAGACTGAAAGCTAATGTCTGTGTGCATGTTAAATTGATGGGTTTGATTTCAAAATCATTTTTTTTTTTTTTATCCTGCAGGTCACTTAGAAACTTGGAATTGCACCATGGAAGTTCATAATAAAGTCTCTGGAAGAGGAAAAGAAACATCATCTTAACACTGCAACTCTTGCCAGCACATTTTTCCAGTTAGCTTGTGGTGCAAAGTTAATCGAAGTGTTACTTTGGATGTTGGGCTTTCTTCTCTTAGACTCCTATTGTGTGGCTATATTGTGTTGTTGTTGTTTTTCAAGTGTATATCCTATGCTACTTCATTGTAACTGGAAGACTGCTAGTTGGAGAATTTTGAGAATATGTTGTATTTTATGTGAGAGCAGACAGGCTTTGCAGCACATTTCCCAAATGTTTAGCACTGAATCTTGCAGAGTGGTGGAGTCTGAGGCAGTTTCCCAAAGTTTCGATCCAAAATAAAATGAATCTGTCATTCATTGCCCTTACTACATTCTCACATGGAAACATTTAAAATCATTTCAATAAAGCATTAAAGGAAACAGAAGCGCAGGCTTTCTTTCAGTGATTATAATGACTATTGGGAAAAAGAAAATGTGCTAGTCTTTCAGCACTTTCCAAAATGCTGATTAGGCAGGTGGTTTGGCTTGTAAATACCCATACTAACAATTTGAACAAAGGAATGTGAGTGCAGATTACACCTCTCTTAAGGTTTTGCTGGGCCACCTGTCTGTGGAACAGGTGTCTTCAACACGTGCAAAAACAAGTGTTTGGTTTGTTGGCTTTCACTGGAAATGGTGGTGCACCCCGATGTGGTGTTGTGGTTGGGGACACCGATGACGCCTTTTCCACATGGGTTTGGTTATGACCATAACTGAGGTTTACCAGGAGGCCTGCAGCACTAGGAGGGAGGCAGGGGATGTATCAGTGACTTGTGACTTGGCCCTGGGTACGCTGTCTAGCATCACAGGACTTTGCCCGGCTTCTTGCAGTCTAGCTCTGCTGGTTGGGAGGGAACATGTTTTTCTTTGTGGTTACTGCTGCCTGTCCTTCTGACAGGTGCACATCTGCTTCATATGCGCTGCCCGAGGCCTTTCACAAATGGCATCATGGACACTTAGCACTAGTTGTGGTTGGATACCCTTTCAGGGCCCTCCATGGGTCACAAGCCATGAAGGTGTTTGACTCCATCTTTCTACATACGCACGGATGACAAAGATGAGCCGGGGCCAGAAGGCCTCCCACAGCCCTGCATAGCTGAGGGGTGCTTCGCCATCCGTAGGGCGGTCGCAGTGGAGAAAGCTCCTCAGGCCTTCACTTGGGTTCTGGGAAACAGTGACCTCCAGGAAGGGAAAACTCAGGCAAATCATGATGCTGGTTTTGAAAACAAAAAGCAACCGTAGAAGACGGTTTTTGGGAGAGATGGGAGGATCCTGTATGTGTTCCTGCTCTCAGACTGTCTCACAGAGTCTCGGGGAATCTCTTTATTTTTAGTCCAAGGAGAAGCGTTTAATCTCAAAACAAAATTGACTTATTTTAAATATTTGCTGCTTTTCGCCAGCAGCTCCAAGTTATACATTTACAAATTGAATTTATTTTTCATCTCCTGAAAGTACTATATATTTATGGTAGAAAACTAAGGCAATCAAAAACAACAGAAAGGAGAAATAAAAACATAAAACAAGGACCTGTAATCTTGCCATTTATGGATAACCATGACTGACATTTTGGTGTATACGTCCACCGTTCTAATCTCTTTTTCTCCCCCTACATAAACATATACAAAATACTTTTAGCAAAACCATATCATACTGAGGAGGTAATTTAGAAAATGTAATTGTCTTTCAATTAGAGGATTTTTTTTGTCACCCTTAGCACTTCAGGTCCTTCTGGAACTCATAGGATTGTCACGAGTCTCCCCAGACGGAACCACCAACCCCATCTCAGCAGTTTCCATAGGCAAATGCACAAAGTGCTGGGCATGTAATGTATTTCTAGAGAGCTGCATAGGATGAGAAGTGCGCCCTTTGTCTCCAAGGTCATAATGGCTCTGCTGACCTCAATTCCTTTCACTGGAGCTAGTGAGGAGAACTCGAAAATGCCAGACAGAATGAGAGCCCCCTGCCCCATGATCCCAAATGAAAAAACGAGAGAGAACATAGAAATCCCCTCACGCACTACCCCCAGGCCCCTTTTGTGTAGTTCTTGCCAACACAGCAGCCCTCCTGCTATATATTCCGGCTGCTACTCTTGTCCCCATCACACTGGACGCTGATCATCCACTGACAACAGCCATGGGGAAGGTGAGCCACCCGAGGGGCCAGGCCGCGTCTGTTGAGTGTCTCCTGTGTTTGGAGGTCCTTCCCCGCTGACGTCTGGCTGTTCCCTTGTTCCCACAACCCCCCCCCCCCCCCGCCCCTGCAGATCACCTTCTACGAGGACCGCGGCTTCCAGGGCCGCCGCTACGAGTGCAGCAGTGACCACCCGAACCTGCAGCCCTACTTTAGCCGCTGCAACTCCATCCGCGTGGACAGCGGCTGCTGGATGCTGTATGAGCAGCCCAACTACGCGGGCCACCAGTACTTCCTGCGGCGCGGGGACTACCCCGACTACCAGCAGTGGCTGGGCTTCAGCGACGCGGTCCGCTCCTGCCGGGCCATTCCTTACGTGAGTCTTGCCTCCACCCAGAATGATGCGAAAGCATCACTGATCCGTGGTCGTAAATTCCTGTTGGTCAAAGCCAGTTTGTTTCAGTTCAGGACTAGTGTTCACAGTAAGGACAGCAATGCCTGATTCTCAAGCATTAAAAAAAAAAAAAAAAAAAAAAAATTGTGAGTAGGCTAATGAATCACTGTAACCTCTTTTTTTTCCCCGCCCTTATTTAAGGACAAAATTATTTTTAGGGCATAAGAAATCATAATATAGCCTCTGAAGTTACATTTGATAGCATCTCGCTGATTCCTACTTTCTAAATAAAAATCACCATGTTCAGAAAAGAAAAAAAAAGCCTATCTAGGTCATTATTTTTTAATGATGGGAACACTTAACAGACCACGGGAGAACAAGGTAGGTGTAATGTGTTCTGTCTGTCTTAGCAGTTGTTTTCCACACAGTCTCTATGACATAAGGATCTAGAAACTAGAACAATATGTCTCAGCTCCTTAGGGGCTCCCTGGTTCCCAGGAGTCATTATCAACTAGTTTCTTACGAGGGTCAGAGACAGATCATTAATTAGGATTTCATGGGACATGGTCCTCATAAAAGTGCTGCTTAATGTTTTTTAAACATGTTGAGTTTGTGTTTCTGCTTGCTGGTGACACCAAATTATGTGGTATGACAAGTAGATTCAAGAAGTGAAACCAAAAGTAGGCTAGAGAAATTTGCAGATGCAAAAAGACATACAAATAACACAGGAATTTCTTTGAGGCAAGAACCTCAAATGGTTCAAGTGATTTGGCAAAATGTCAGACATGTGGACTCAGAGTAAATATGAATTATTGTAAATTATGCATGAAGAGTGACTTAAAAACAAGCTTGTTAGGACTCTTATGTGTAGCCATAACGAAAAAGAGAGTTAAATTCCTCTCTGCAGACTCACTAAATACAGTTGTGACCAATGGCTTCCTACAAAGGAATCCCTTTGGTTCCCTTTATTTCAATGTTTGTTTCTTCCACAAGATCAGGTCAGCTTTATTTTTAATATTCTTCCTAATTTGTTAGACCAACAATGTGGGGAGAAGACATGCACACGGCAGGATGGTTTGAAAACCATGCTTCATGAAGATGCGGGCTGACTAAGTCGCTTTTACTGAGATCAGAGATACACACAGTTGATTTTTCTTCTTTTGTTTATTGTCACAACAGACCAGCTCCCACAGGATAAGGCTGTACGAGAGAGATGACTACGGGGGCCTGGTGTCTGAGCTCACCGAGGACTGCTCCTGCATCCACGATCGCTTCCGGCTCAATGAGCTCCGCTCGCTCCACGTGCTGGAGGGCTGCTGGGTCCTCTACGAGCTGCCCAGCTACCGGGGGCGGCAGTACCTGCTGAGACCGGGGGACTACAGGCGCTACCACGACTGGGGGGCCACGGACGCCAGAGTGGGCTCTCTGAGACGGGTCATCGATTTATACTAGGCTGTGTGTTTCTTATGATCCACATCAAAATGCAATAAATATACAAATGGTGTTCCTGGCACTAAGTGACTCTCGTTTATCTTTAAATAATCACTGAATTCTAATAAATGGTGACCCCTGGCAACTTGCCTGACCCTGAAAATCAGGTGTTTTGAATGTCTACTTACTTCCTGTTGGTCAGGCAACAGTATTCCTGAAGCCCCCACTCACGTCATGGGAAGGAGGGAGAAGCAGCACGTCTGCTTCTACAACCTGCAATCTGAGAAAGAGAGGAAAGGCAAATGCAAGGAAAAACTATTAGACCCTACATAAAGTAGAAAACACAGAATGAATTGAGGCTGGGATACCAAAGACAAGGGATTGCTGGAAAGATTAGGGCAGCTGAAGTCTCAGATTAGTCAAGAAAAGCTGAGCGAAGAGAGGGGTTTTAAGCAGAATTCCCAAGGTAGAGAAGGTCAAACGTGCTTGATGAATTCAGCAGGTAAGAAAAGTGCTAAAGTAAGCATTAAAGGGCCTGCGTTGTTATCTTACTTCTGCTAATTACTAGTAATGTGCCCAACTTGGACTAGTTTTTAGGGACTTTCCCAGTTTTAGCACCAAAAGTCCTACACCCTGGAAAGCCCCTCAGTCTCAGGTAAACCAGGATGGTTAGTTCCCCTTCTTACTGGGTTTATATCTTTGATCAAGTCATTTCTTATCCTCTCTGTGCCTAAATTACCTTATTGAAGACTACAGGTGGATGAGAAATTCCTGCTTCACTAAATCCCCAGATAGTTACAATGAAATATAAGGAAAGATTGTGAACACATTTTGTTATTTTTAAATTATTACACAAATATAAATGTAGAAAATTTATGTATTACCAGTGTCTGCTCAAATTCAAGAGTACAATACAGTCATCTCTATTTTGGACTCCAATATGAATTTCTATCAAGACTCAATTACAGGGCGCCTGGATTACTCAGTTGGTTAGGCGTCTGCCTTTGGCTCAGGTCATAATCCCAGGGTCCTGGGATGGAGTCCCTCATGGGGCTGCC